AATTGTTGACTCGCCAAAATTTGGCTCCCGACAGAACAAAAGTCTGCCGCAGTCACCCTTCGTTCGTACAAGAAATATCAAAACAATTGTCACCTCTTTGGTAAATCTGTGCTTCACTCCGAGGCCGGCCAACCTAATTGTTGACTTGCCAAAATTTGGCTTCCGACAGAACAAAAGTCTGCCGCAGTCACCCTTCGTTCGTACAAGATATACCAATAACTCTTTGTAACGAATTTCTGATTGAAGGATAGGTAATTCTAAACCTCCAGATGCGTAGGGTTTAAGAAATTTATCATTCGACGGACATTCTTCTGTTCTTGACGGTATAACCTATTTTGTTTTATCTGAAGAAAAAAAAATAAATATAACATGCGTTGTTAAATACTTATTTTAGTATATATGTATCAATTATAAATAACACATGAGTTGTCTCGTTTCACTCTAGCCGGCCAACTCAACATGGCTTCCCAAAATATTGTTTGGGCCGGTCAATCTAGTTGTTGACTCGCCAAATTTGGCCTCCAAGGGAATAATTTTTTCCCAAACTTACACTCTTTGTAACATATTTTTAATTGAAGGATAGGTAATTCTTAAAAACGCCAGAGGCATAGGGTTTGAGGAATTTACCATCCAACGGACATTCTCCTGTTCTTGGCGGTATAACCTATTATATTTTATCTCGAAAAAAAATATAAATATGCATGTATTGTTAAATACTTATTAAAGTATATATACATCAATTAAGAATTACACATGAATTGTCCCGTTTCACTCTAGCCGGCCAACTCGCAATCACCCTTTGTTCGTATCAGAAATACCAATAACAATTGAGGTAATAATTTTTTCCCAAACTTACACTCTTTATACCAAATTTCTAATTGAAGGATAGGTAATTCTAAAAAACGCCAGATGCGTAGGGTCTGAGGAATTATCATCCAACGGACATTCTCCTGTTCTTGACGGTATAACCTATTATGTTTTATCTCAAGAAAAAAAATACAAATATGCACGTATTCTTAAATACTTATTAAAGTATATATATCAATTAGAAATAACATATGAGTTGTCCCGTTCACTCTAGCCGGCCAACTCAACATGGCTTTCCAAAACATAGTTTGGCTTCCAACAGAAAAAATATCTGTCCCAGTCGCCTTTGTGATAGAACAACTCTTTGTTAAACCTGTGTCTGTGCGGTCGTAACCTTCACTCCGGGCCGGCCAATCTAGTTGTTGACTCGCCAAAATTTGGCTTCCGACAGAACAAAAGTCTGCCGCAGTCACCCTTTGTTCGTACCAGAAATACCAAGAACAATTGAGGTAATAATTTTTCCCAAACTTACACTCTTTGTAACAAATTTACTTGCTCTAAAGAACCTATCTTTGTTTATTAACAGAGCATAGGGAAAGTTCGATTTTATTGGTTGATGATGATCAGCATAATTAAAAATTCCGATTGGTCAATTTAACAAAT